TGGATAGGCTAGAAAAAAGCAGTAAGCACAACAGTGAAAACGCTTCTTAAACTATTCATACATTTATTAGATATATTTGAGTAAAATATAGCTAAATAAATTATGTAAAGAATTGTAAATAAGACACGCACAGTATTCCTGCTCTGTCTACCCTAGACATTGTAAATAAGACACGCACAGTATTATTGCTCTGTCTACCCTAGACATTGTAAATAAGACACGCACAGTATTATTGCTCTGTCTATCCTAGGCCCGGCATGGCCAGGTGGTTAGGTCGCTCGACTCGCAATCTGAGGGTCGCGGGTTCGAATCCTCGTCACACCAAACATGCTCGCCCTTTCAGCCGTGGGGGCGTTATAATGTGACTGTCAATCCCACTATTCGTTGGTAAAAGATTAGCTCAAGAGTTGGCGGTGGGTGGTGATGACTAGCTGCCTTCCTTCTAGTCTTACACTGCTAAATTAGGGACTGCTAGCGCATATAGCCTTCGTGTAGCTTTGCGCGAAATTCAAAAACAAACAAACAAAACTGTTTACCTTATACACAACAAGCTCTAAAACAAGATGTTACTGCATAGTGGCCCAAAATGATCAAAAACGTAGGTTCATTACAAAAATTCTAAAATGTTCAACTACGTTCCCCAAATAAGTAATAAAAATAATGAAATAAATAGTCATATCTAAATTCCTCCTAATGACATACTGTTTGGCTGTTTCGCGCAATGTAATTTTTTGTTATCAATTTTCGTCGCCATACCAGTTTAACAGATATGATAATGTATTTGATAGTCATTAGAATTTACAAGGAATAAAAAAAACGTTTTTTGAGTTGTAAACGTAGTTTTGTCGTTTCTTCAAAACTAAATTGTATAATTAAAGAAAAGAAAAAAACTTACAAATTTATGTTTAGCGTTATCTTCAAACTGAACGTCTCTAGAAATGTGCACTACTTATAAGTACTTATAATGATTTAATAGATCGGACTCCATTCCTCAAACCTCTGTGGTGAAAGGCCAAGACCGCTTTCTAACTCAACCTGGCAGAGAAGTCATTCAAACAACTTTAGCTGATGAATCTTTGAATGAAAAAGAACGCCGTCTGAACGATATGATAAACCAGCTTCAAGAACTCAGAGAGCAGCTCTTAAGCCAACAGAAGTTAATTAACCAGGTAAATATTTTTATTGGGTGGGCTCTCCTTTAATTATTAGCGTCTGTAGCTGAAAACGAAGAAAACAGGGTTCCTACATTAATTTTATTTTTGAACCAAAAGAAACTAATTTCAAGAAAGAATTACGCGATTGTTTCGATACGAGTAAATTACTCATGCTACGTTATCATAGTCTATCACGCTCCCGTTTTTAAGGCTTTATTTCTTATTAATTTCTATATTTTTATGGCCCTAAAATTCTTTCGTCGATGTATGAAAAAGCTTTAAAGCTCAACTTTGTAATTTTCAGAATAAAAAAGCTAAAAAGACTAATTCAAAAATAGGTATTTCATTTGCGGTTAAGACGTTGTCATCCATTTAAATCATATTAGACTTGACTTAGAATTCGCTAGCTTAGACACCGTAAACGATACAAATTCTATCTTTTCGTGGATATATCATATGTGTTGTTTAGGAAGTTTGTCAGTTAAGCTACACGAAAACTTAGATTTAATAATAATAATAATTTAATAATAATGGAGATATCATATGTGTTGTTTAGGAAGTTTGTCATTTAAGCTACACGAAAACTTAGATTTCATAATATTATTATTTTAATAATGATGTTTGTTAATAAGGTTTGTCGAAATACATTATTTAACGTGTTACTATACTTATCGAACGATGACTCGGAATACTAAACAAACCTGTTGAGAATAAGGATGTACTAAAATTATAAAGCTTCAATACATATTCAGTAGTAAAGGGTATAAATAGTTTATAGTGATAATTAAAACTCAGGGAAATAAGTCATGTATATTTAATATATGAGTTAAAAGTTTTCCTACAGTCCTACACTATTGTGACCATTGTTTGGCCAAAGGAATTAGAAGTGTGAAAAGCGACAATAATAAATGAATCAAAGGCTAAAGATCGGGAATGACTTAATGGGTGTCGTGATGAATTGCAGATCGAAATATCCAAGGTTCGAGCTGCGATGTGCCACTGAGCAGTTTCTCCCCCTATTCGTTTAAGAGCAACCACATAGGCAGTGGGTTCTGTTGACTGGTTGCTTTCTTTCTTGTCAGGAGCACTAAATTAGATGTGGCTATGTCTGAGTCCTAGAGAGATTTGACCTAGCTGTTTAAATTAAGGATGGCTATGTCTGAGTCCTAGAGAGATTTGACCTACTGTTTACTTCACGTGTCACAAAGGTATCACTCAAATTGAGAATACCAATAAAAATCAAGTAGCCTCCCAGTGGCTCAGCGGTAAGTCTGTGAATTTATAACGCAAAAAATCGTGTCTCGATACCCGTGGTAGGCACAGCACAGATAGCCCATTGTGTAGTTTTGCGCTTAGGAACAAACAAAATAAGTCAAGTATTATATTCTTTGTATTATACCTACAGGCCATAGCGTGCCTCGTATTTCCAGAATATATATTTATACATATAATTAATATACTAATTTAAAAAAAAAACACTTTATAGACCTTAGTATCTTTTGATCAACTTATACTACAGAATCATTTTAGAACTTTCTAAGTCAAGCATGTGAATTCTGTTGGAGAACCTATTGGTTTAAATGGTGTTTTTTTGTTTTCAGAATTCATAGATAGTATAGATGTTAATATGAAAAGCCAGTTTGTAAAACGCTGAATGAAAGACAAATCACATTGTCACGTTCCATTTCTAGACTGATTGAAAGTTCTAGCTTCATTTTACTCAGAACAACTTTCAGGCCTTTCATGGTTTGGAATTAGAAATTGTAACGGTATTGAGATATTTATTAATTTATATGCATTAAAGCAAAAACAAAACATATAATCAGCACACACTATGACTAACCCTCACAACAATTAGTATCCACTCAATGACTAACCCTCACAATAATTAGCACTCACACAATGAGTAACCGTCACAATAGTTAGTATCCACACAGTGAGTAACCCTCATAATAATAAATATCCACACAATGAATAACCCTCACAATAATTAGTATCCACACAATAAGTAACCCTCACAATAATTATTATCCACACGGTGAGTAACCTTCATAATAATAAATATCCACACAATGACTAACCCTCACAAAAAGTAACACCCACACAATGAGTAACCCTCACAGTAATTTGTATCTACACAGTGAGTAACCTTCATAATAATAAATATCCACACAATTAATAACCCTCACACTAATTAGTATCCACACAGTGAGTAACCCTCATAATAATAAATATCCACACAATGAATAACCCTCAGAATAATTAGCATCCACACAATGAGTATTCAGTAATTGTATTTATTTCTTTTTTGACAATAATTTCATCAGTCAACGATAAAATTTATGTATGACATTCCGTGGATTATGGTAATGATTCCAGTCTAATTGTTTTGCTGTTAACATGATTTGTGTTACTTAGCATTCTTGTATACCAATGAGCTGATTTTATATAAAACGTTTTTAAATTGAAAAACACTTCTAAGCAATACACTAAAGGAAGAGATGAGGAAACACCAACTGAGCCGACATGATGGATACGTTACAGCTAGAGTCAGAGCTTTGGACACGTTACAGCTAGAGTGAGAGCTTTGGACACGTTACAGCTAGAGTCAGAACTTTGGACATGTTACAGCTAGAGTCAGAGCTTTGGACACGTTACAGCTAGAGTCAGAGCTTTGGACACGTTACAGCTAGAGTCAGAACTTTGGACACGTTACAGCTAGAGTCAGAACTTTGGACATGTTACAGCTAGAGTCAGAGCTTTGGACACGTTACAGCTAGAGTCAGAGCTTTGGACACGTAACAGCTAGAGTCAAAGCTTTTTTGTAACAAATAACATACTCATTATCAAAATGGGATACAAATACACTTAGCGCTGTGAAACTGTAAAATGCATGTTATATTAAACATCTACATATGTAATTTGGACATCAGGAACGACTTATTAAAACAGCAAACAATTTTATCAGACACCTGTAGATAGATGTGTAATTCAGCATTTCACTTATAACAACAAAATCTTACCAAAACATATACAATAACAAAATATAACATCAAATCATTATAATCAGCCTCTGTAACCTTATATCAGTTCATATTAAACATTCAGTACTTGGTTGGTCCTCCTCGTACTGTAATAACCCCCGCAAGGCGACGTAGCATGTTATCGAGGAAGTTATGGATGTAATCCACCGTAATTTCATCCCAATTTGTCACTAGAAGGTACTGAAACTCAGTTACAGTAGCTGGTTCAAGGTCGTGGTTAGCAACTTTCCGGCTCAGTTCTGCCCAACAGTTCTCAATGGGTTACGATCTGGAGACTTTGCTGGCCATGACAATATTGTAACATCCTCCTGGTCGAGATAATCATGTACAATACGTGCATTGTGTAAAGTAACATTGTCATCCTGGAACACAAAGTTATTGCCAAACCTTGCTCTAGCATATGGCAGAAATATCGTCTCCGTGTGAAGCCTGTAGGAGGCACCATTGGTGTTTCTCTGGAGGATATGAAGAGCAGTTTTCTCACCATGGTGAATAGCTGCCCAAACGTGTACTGCACCACCTCCTGTGGGAAAGACAGTCTTCCTCATCTCTTCTCCAGGCAAACGACGAACACGAATCCTACCATTAGCTTTAACAAGCCGGAAACAGGATTCATCTGAAAATATGACATGTCGCCAGTGTCCTAACTGTAAGTTGACATGCTGTTTGTCTTGCCCAAGTAACACGGTGACGGTGGTGAATTCTGGTTAATATCGGTTGTAGATAACCCTCTTGCAAGATATCCTTGTTTGGTCAGTCTCCCATTCACTGTTCTTCTAAATAACCTGGAATGAATGCGTTCATGCC